TAGTTTATCCACAAGATCTGTTTTAGTCAGTTTGGGCTGCTAAACCAAAGTACGAAGAACTGGGTGGTTTAAGTGGCAGACATCGGTTCTCCTAGTTCAGGAACTGGGACATCCAAGATGACAGCTGCATATTTGGTGTCTGGTGAAGGCTCTTTTTCTAGTTTGGGGACAACCATCTTCTTGCTAGGCTCCCGCATGGCCTTTCTGTGGTGTGTGGACAGAGAGAGAGGGAGAGAAAGAGGAAGGGATCTCATGTCTCTTCTTTTTGTAAAGGGCACTAATCCCATCTTGAGGTGCCCACCCTCATGACCTCATCTAACCCTCATTACCTCCCAAAAGTCTCACCCTCCAAACACTAGCACCTTGGGGATTGGAGCTTCAACATATGAATTGGGGGACCACAAATATTTAGTCCATATTAAGCTCTTTTAGTTGGTCATTCTTTAGGTAGAGGAGACTGCCACACTTTGAAGATTTAGGTTGGATAGGACTATAGAACTCAAGGTTTACATTTAGACAAATGTGGGTTCCAGTTTCAGCTCCAATTCTTATGTCTTCATGATGTAGGACAAGTTGTTAAATCTCTCTAGGTCTCAATTTTCCCAACTGTACAATTCCTCAATAATAGTACCTAGTTTTAGAGTTGCTGTCAAGATTAAATGCAAACCATGAATGTAAAGCTCTTAGCACATTGCTTGGCACAAAATAGAACCTTGGTAAAAACTTATCTTATAAATTATGAGAAACAACCAAACCTATCCAAGCAAAAGCTGAGACTGGTAACACAAGAGATGAAATTGTTTGATCAGTGCTTTGGTGGTTAATATAAGATAAAATTTGTTTGCTTTTGAATATAAATTTTGCAAGTCTCTGTTAACTATAACACTTCAGGTGTTAAATTAAACAGACAAATGGGGTGTGTGTGTGTGTGTGTGTGTGTGTATGTATGTGAGCACGTGCACAAGCATGTGAGCATGTGACCATACATGCCTTGGTAGCATTCGCATCATTTCTTTCAGTAAATAGCTCAGAGTACACCACCATAAAAAACTTAAACTAACACACCACTTCAAAATTTACAGTATATTTTACTTACATAAAAACTGTTTTTTATTTCAATGAAACTGGAAAGTATTTAAGCCTGCTTTGCTTTTCAAGATTATTCCTTGACAAAAATGTTCCTTTGTACACCAATAAGAAGATGTTCCAATTAAATGTTACTGGCAAGAAAATGACAAAAACCAACCAACCAACCACATGGGCACATGCACACTTCTCAACTCTCCAAATTCCTATAAATCACACTTTGTGGACATTCATACCATTAATAATGTAGCAAGCATCCTAAAATATTTAATACTTATATTTTATAGAAGTTATAATTGCTTTTCTCTTCAGGCTTAGTGACTCAGATGAAAAAGTAAATCCAAGTCTGCTCTCATATGACCTGAAATGTCAAGGTGACAAATTCATTTGATCATCAGTAAGAAAGCAGCCCAGCGTGGCTTTTAAAAGCTGGATTTTCAACACAATGAGCCAGAGCTGAATGGCTCCTTATCTTTGAATGATCATAGTAGTCATATCTTCTCACTGTGCCTTTTGTAACCACTGGTTGCAAAACTGATAGTTGTAACTAGTGGTTACAAAAGGCATTTGCCACAACTCCAGAACTTTCAAAGAAGAAACGGTCAAAATGCACGTTACAGAGGACAGCCTTGGGAGTGGGATGGGTTTCATTGTATTACAGTAAAATGTAGGCTTCTAGAGGGCCAGGACTTCTTAAATGATCATGTGGAATAAAACAAAGTCTAAACATCATTCATAACTTAATGCAATTAAGAAGCAGCAGCCCATGGAGCGGGATATTCAAGAGGATTATGTCTTCATGACAACTTGAAGAAATTCTCTCTCTTTAACTTCAGTTCAAAATATACTATAAAGACCTGCAGGATTTATTTCTGCACATTGGGTAGATTTATGTATTTAGAAAAGACCTACCAGAAATATATTCCCAGAAAGTGACTGTAAGCTCTAGTGATTGGTCTGATTTCTGGCCTTGCAAAGGAAATCAATAAGAAAGAATAGGATCCTGCGAAATGAGTGGTTTCTCCCTGGATAAAGCTCTCCCCACGCACCCCCATCGCTGCTCTTAACCAGAATGGACCTGTCTTGGGCTGTAATTGTTTTGTGATTAGTGTGAATGAATGCTCCTCACCACATAGATTCACTATTGATTTTTTAATTAATAATAATGTCCTGTAGTTACTATCTCAGAGGAAATCTGAGTGCTTTATAGTTGATGAATTCCAATTTATCTTCATACTATCTGGTTGAATGTAAAGATTAGGTATTCCAATTTCATTTTAAGGAGGAAAAATCGAACCCAAAAGGTTAAATCATTGGGCATGGAGATTCAGAAAGCTAATAACATTATCACCAGTTAAAATCTGGTCATCTTGACTTTTGATTCCTAAAAACATCTGGTCAGTTAGGTCAACTTTAGATTGTCCCTTTGGAAAAGAAGTAGATGGAATTATGTGAAGTTGTTCTGATTAACGGAAGTTTACATTTCTCCCCATTATTTTGATGGCATACAATAATTATGCTTAAGACATTTTTACTTGCTAGACCACATGCACTTTCTAATGGCCTATGTCAATATCTTTGGAGTGCTTCTACGTCTCCTGGTAGGGAGCAATGCAAAACTTGAGTTTTGATAATTCGATTGGTGTGATTCTTCAAGGACTGGTATATCTCCCTCACCTACCTAGTACTGTTTTAACTCACAAAAAAACGAAATAACCTCCCCAACAAAAACATGCTCAAAATCCTTTAGTCGTTGTATCTGTGAGAAGGTGAACTACCGTCCTTTCAGTCCCCCATTCCTCCAGACTCTGATTTTCCCCCTTTCTTCCATTACAAGTCCTATCAATTTTTCCTCTGAGTTTATTGCTTTATTTCTCTGTGCCCTGCTTACTGCTACCACTCTGGTCTTCACGTGTAAGTCGGCCACCTCCTTCGTTGTGTCCACAACTTCCTCAATCCGTCTTGTATTAACTTTCCTAATAAATTCCCTGTACTTTTTGAAGTTTTGAGTTATTCAGGCACAACACACACACAGAACAATATGCTGAACATCCATCCATACCTTCATCGGCCAGTTTGAAAGATGTGAACATTTGAGATAAAAGTTGAAATCCCTCTTCGGAGCCCCTCCCCGATCTCATTTCAGTCCTTCCCTCCCCACTACCATGAATCCGCTATTATTGTTCTCATGCCTGCTTTTGTATATTTACAAAAATGTACGGTATCCACTCGAAGTGTTTCTTTTTGAAACTTTCATTTTTTTTCACTGTGACTTTGATATTTTCATTATATTTTTGAAATGTATCCATGTTGACGCATATGACTTCATTCCCTTTTGTTTCGTTGCTGTAGTCCATTGGTTCTACAATTTTTCTGTTCTTCTGAGGATGGACATTAAGATCACTTGTAATTTTCCCCTCCAATACAAGCAATGATGTAACAAATGTCTTTGGCCATGCTTCCTTTTTCACCTTTGTGAGAGATTCTCTAGGGCATGTACCCAAAGGTCTAAATGCTGGGAGGCAGGAACTGCTCGTTTTCAAATTTATCATTACGAAGTGGTTGTGTCAACTGACGTATTTGCTTACCTGCCTTACTTCACCAAAAATGGGTTCTTCCTTGACCTCTGCACCGACTTTCTGTGGAATTTCAACCTTCTCCAAAAAGAGAGCCCTTAATCACTTCTCTCTCTGAGGGATGTCCCCCGGGGACTCGCTTCATGTGAAGGGTCACAGATTCAAAAGCTTTCGGACGACACACTGAAATGTAAATGTGTGACAGTGCAGGGTGTGTGGTAGGGCAGGGGTGGACAGTGATGGCCCCATGTGCTAGTGCCTCACACCTGACTTACAGGCCACCAGTTCATAGTCCCTGAGTTTCTCATGTTAACTTATTTATTTTCCTGAGAGTGTCTCAGAAACGTGTAATCATTCGATCCCCTCTGTAGCGGCGAAGAGCAAGGATCTTGGAACCAGCCTGGCTGAGTTGAAATCCCTGCTCCTCCACAACTACTTGTGTGCTCTTGAGCAACTTCCTTCACATCTCTATAGCTTCATCTTGTTTGTGAAACGGGGGAAATGCTAGCACCTACTTCCTAAGTCTGTGCTGAGAATCACATGAGATAATTTACATAAAGCTCTCAAGTACATTTTTCAATACCTTTTTGTTGACTTGTTGAGACAAGCACAAATCACAGAAAGTCATATTGTTCCTACTGTGTGTCAGGCATTGTTCTAGGACCTGGGAGACGGCACCCTCAATACCTGCAGTGTCTCTAACTCAACAGAGCAGAAGAATCACGGTTTTAGAACGTAAATTGTCATGTCACTCCTCTATTTAGAATACCCCCTAATGAGGTCCCATTGCACCGGGAATGAAGTCAATGTCCTTGTGAAGTCCCACAGGGTCCTAGTGATCTGCCTCCAGTTGCCTCTGATGTCAGGGGCATCAGAGATCTGAGATCTGATCTCATCAGCTCAGAGAGCTGATGTCAGATCTCTTTCCTGAATTAAGCTGCCAGCTGGGTCCAAGCCCCTAACATTTTGCTTGGCACACAATGGGCAATAAAGAAATATATGTTAAATCAGTAAATGAACCTAATGATTCTCCTAAGGCGATATGAATGCCCAAGGCGTATTCTGAGCCATCACAGAGCAAGTAATTATACCTGTGATAGCTTAACTCTATGCATGTTAGTGTATCCTTATTCTTTAAATATAGATAATTCCAGTGTAACATGGGTGGCAGCAGCTTACCATTAGCCATAATATTTGGGTAGAAAGACTGTCATGTTCTTGAATGATGATGGATAACAGAGAGTTGACTGTTTCTTGAATCTCCCTGACTTGTCTACAGAACAACATTCCCGACCTTTGATTATCACCAGTCTCTTTTTCTTCTCCCTCAAATTTTAGGTCTTATTGTCCACGAAGGAGCTGCAGTTTACAGGGTTTTCAAGCGCTGGCGAGCTGTTAACTTGCACTGGGATGTATTAAACTACGACAAAGCCACAGACATCGAGGAAAGCAGCCGGGGAGAGTCTTCCACAAGCAGGACTTTGTGGTTGCCATTGACAGCTCTGCGGAACAGAAACTTGGTCCACCCAACGCAGCTAACCTCGCCCCGGTTTCAGTGCGGGTACGTGTTATTGCATCTGTTCAATCGGATGAGGCCCCATGAAGATTTGTCAGAAGATAACAGCTCGGGGGAGGTTGTGATGAGAGTGACTTCCGTGTGACAAAAGCATAAAATGATGCAGCGTGGACCACCCTGCACCTTTTGGAATGTAATTGCAATGAATGGTGAAACCACAGCACTTCTAAAAACAAACATCTATGAACTTTTTAAAATTTATGCTTTTTATATGAACATTTGAATTGCAAATACATTTTTCTGAAAAAAAAAAGAGTCCTCTTGTTCTTTGTTTTCCAATTTGTCACATCTTTTATGAGTTGGCACTTGAAATCATTATGCATATAATTTAACTCTACTTGGTTAAAAGAATGATGAGAGTTATCCTTCAGGCGAAAACTATTTTTTTCCTGCTCGTTTTAAATATATTTTTATCAAACGTTTTGCTCCACGTGTAATTTTTCAGACATGTTACGAATGGGTAAGAGTTTAGGATGCTCTGGGCAGGTTCCAAAGTGCCAGCTGGGTCAGGTACGCAGCGCAGAGGTGCTTCTGCTCGTGCCTCGTGCTGGCTGGCAAATCTGAGCACGGCATTTTTGCTCTGATGAAATAGCTTGTCACCAGGAATGCAAGTTCTAGGAATTATGGCTTGTTTCCTAATTTCTGAAACAATACAGAGCAGTTGTAGAAATATAAAAATAAGTGGCATAAAATAGTTCTGCTTCAGTACGTATTACATCAGCAGGGCATCCTGCATATTTATAACCCCCAAAGCTTACCAAAATGTTGCATCTACTACCTGTAATCATAATACTGCCTGGCATTTGTGTAGCCCTCTAACAGACCGATCACAATTAATTCAGTTAATTATTAGTGTCTCGAAGTCCATGTGCGCCATCTTAATTAGATTTTCTTTTCTAAGTAAAGGCTTATAGACCACCTTAATCACTTAAACACTAATCCTATTACTTGGTTTAATGAAGTCCTATGAAATATTTTCGCCAGCAGTGAGAAGTCTTTCTCTTTCACTAGATGAGTATTTTTTAAATGAAAAGAGGAAAAGAAAAATGAGCCTATTGACTCCCCAGGAACAGGCTGCTAACTATTGGTATCTGGGGATTTTCCACCTTTTTATCCACCTAATGAAGGTAATTGGCACATTTTAATGAACAATGGCAGAGCAGATGAGAAGGAAGGAAGCCACACTTTCCCTAAAAACGAGTTGCACATGCTGGTTGTTTGAAGTAATTAATGACTAGATTTAAAAGCATATAAAGCCAAATGTTTTATATTCTATTTTTTAAAAATAACTTTTTAGTGATTAACAACAGAATAAATAATGTTGACATAATATAGTAGTTCACAGAATAGCACTATTATATTATGTGATTCTTCCATAGAAAATTCTACCAGTACTTAAAATAATATTTTTCCAGTTAAAAAACTGTGTTGCAAATGACAATGATGTGACAATTTGCAGAAATGTGAAGAATGAATCATGAAGTCACAAAGGAAGGAAAATTCAGCCATTATTTAGGGGCAGATGTAGGAGGTAAGCGTGTTAAACGTTCTATTTCAAACTTGCTTGTTTTAATATGATGTTCCCTGAGCACCATCCTGGGTGAGGTTCCTGCACAGTTTATTCACTAAGGCGAGTATCAACAGCACAACATTTCATGGAGAAAAATTTTGGAAAAGAAAAGTCCCGGTCCAGATGGTTTCACACCCAAATTTTACCACACTTACAAAGAAGAACTAGTACCTATCTTGCAGAAACTATTCCACAACATCGAGAAGAACGGAAACCTCCCTGACACCTTTTATGAAGCGAATATTACTCTGATACCAAAACCAGGAAAGGATGCAACAAAAAAAGAAAACTACAGACCAATATCCCTAATGAATATAGATGCAAAACTTTTCAACAACATCTTAGCTAACTGAACCCAGATACTTATCAAAAAAATAATCCATCACGACCAAGTGGGCTTCATCCCAGGGATGCAGGGATGGTTCAACATACGTAAATCTATAAATGCAATTCACCACATAAACAGAAGCAAAAACAAAGACCACATAATTCTTTCAATAGATGCAGAAAAAGCTTTTGACAAAATTCAACACCCTTTCATGATATAAACACTTAATAAAATAGGCATAGAAGGAACATACCTAAAAAAAAAAACAGTCATTACAATTTAGAATAACTTGTGTGAAAAATGCTGCACTAAGAGACTTTAAACACAGATTAGACTACCACTTCTCCAGTACATAGCCAGACTGCCCTTTGAGTGAGTGCACACCTCACTCGACAACAAAAAAGGGAGACAGGATGACAACCCCTCTCGGGGTGATGTCTGTGTGGGTGCATGAGGTGGAGACTCCTGGGGATGAGAATGCAGGATGGAATCGTCCCCCTGAAAGGGACATGTGCCCTAGCCTCCCTCCTTCCCAGGATCTTGCCTTGGGATGTTACCTTTGTCTACACCCCATATTTCCCCTCACCTCTTCATGACCCCCACGTCCTGACACACACACACACACACATACACCCTGAATCAATCTTAGAATAGGAAATCTGGCAGAATTTCCACTCAACATAATGTACCGTCCATGATATGGTTGCAGAGAAACTCAGAAAGAAGCACTCCAAGGTTGGGGAGCGCATTAGAGAACTACATTCACTGCTTTCAAAACAATTAAAATTCTTAACACTGCACTATATAAATTATGATATAAAAATTAACTTCTCAATTGTGAATGCCATAATTCAAACTCAGGCTACCTTAAATATAAAATATACATATATATATATATATTATATATATATGGTAAGGAAATGAGTGGGAAATATTCTAAATTATTATCTTTGAAATCTTTTCCAATGTTACACACATTTAGAACCTGTTTGCAGCCTGTCTCTTTGCAGTCATTAATTTGCAGTAGAAACCTTCACCTTCTGCATGATGGGCACTGCGAGTAGTGGGGCACAGGGGAGCCAGGTCCACAGGGAGGCTCCACGTCTTATGTGTCTACATACAGGTGAGCTAAGAGAAGCGGCAGTTCAGAGGGGTGGCCATTTGTCCCTCAGGCACCTGGAGAAGGTGTCACTGAGGATCTGGCAGGATCTGGGTCTGGAAGGGAAAGAGAATACTCTGGAACAGCTAAGGGGAGTGAAAGAGAGGCATGTTCCAGCAATGGAGAGAACTCATGTCGGGGGGAGCCCAGGCTATAGGTGAAGACTCGATCCCACCCTACAAGGCTGGCTGGGTGTCTGGGACTGAATCCCACACAGAAGATGGTGTTCAAGCAGCAGGTGGTAAGACTGGGCAAGGTCATTTCTGGGGGATGGGCGTTCCCCATGAATTGCTGTAAATTCAATAATGCAGTAGAAATATTCAGACATCAGATGGGCTGTGCTGCTTTCCTCCCCTCTCCCAGGAGACAGCAAAACCCAGAAATAACATCATAGATCCTGGAATGGTTTCTCCATTTTTAAAAATGCCCCCCATCACTTTCCAGAGGAAATAAATTTTATCATCAGATTTTCCCCTAAATAATCAATTTTTAATTTCTTATTCTGTACATACCAATAACTAAAAACATGCCACAATAAAGCAAGCTCTCTCTGTTGCTTTTGTTTTACCCTGGGACTGCTTCTCTTTTCCTTTCAATTTTTTCCCCCGTAGGTAGTGATATTAGCATGACCTATTGGCTTTGATGATGTACAAATGCTCCGACCTCCCTTGTCTGTAGAGTTAAACAGCAAAATAAATTTGTCTTTGCTGCTCCACAATTAGATTAACTGTCATCTAACAATTGATGTTTCTTTCTTTCTTCTTTTTTTTTGTAGAGACAGGATCTCTGTCACCAAGAATGGAGTGCAGTGGCATAATCATAGATCACTGCAACCTCAAACCCCTGGGCTCAAGTAGTCCTCCTACCTCAGCCTCCTGAGTAGCAGGGACTGCAGGTGTAGACCACCACACCAAGCTAATTTTTCTTATTTGTTTTTTTTTTTTTTTTTTTTTTGTGTGTGTGTGTGTGATGGGGTCTCTCTATGTTGCTCAGGTTAGTCTCAAACTCCTGGCCTCAAGCGATCCGCCTGCCTTGGCTTCCTAAAGTGCTGCGATTACAGAAATGAGCCACTGTGCCCAGCCTGATGTGCAATTTTTAAACACAGGTCATGCTTTGTCCGTATTTCCCTTTATAGCTTTTTTCTAAAGTACACATTTTAATGATAGTAGGTTACAAGCATCTGATATTTTAAATTTTCTTTCCAAGTTCATTCTTTTTCCAAACAAGGTGTGGCAAAGTTTGTTTTCAAATTATATATAAAATAAATATATATTATACAATATGGATAACATAATATATAATTATATGATTAGGCATATATTATATATTATTTATATAATGGCATAATTTATAGAAAAATAATTTCATGTTCTATATATTAAGACATAAAGACCTTAAAGAGATACTTCAGGCAATTAGCTCAATGCCAGTTTATCAGTTAAGGAAAAAAACATTTCCATCGTACGTGCATGATGCAAAATTACAGCAGATGCTGTGATTTATAGCAAAGCTCAAAGTTCTGGGCCCTGGTGCTACCTAGAGACTAATTCATTGGGTTCATAAAGGTGCCATTTTTCACAACATAGAATTAACTAGTTAATTAGTCAAGTAGTTCAGAGTTATTTTAAGGCATTTTCTCCCTAGGAAATATAAGACACTGAGAGCCAATGGGAGAATGAAAATAATGCACAATTTCTTATAAAGTTTTGGTGGTGTTTTATTTTTAAATCCGAAACCATAATCCAAAGCATTTTATGATTATTTTCCAAAACAGGTCGGCAGTCACTGCATTTTCTTGCAACTTTTCATATTTTTGAGGATTTTCTATATGCAACATGGCTTTTTAGGGGAAATAATCTTTTTCTGATACTACAAGTAGGAAGAAAAAAGTTTGCTCTGAGATGCACGGAGAGTGGAGTTTTATGTTTGTAGATGCATAGTGGTGACCTGGGCATTTGACAATGCCTGTGAACCCATCGAGCAGGGGTATTCACGGCAGCAGCTGGACCCCAGAAAGGGCATCGGCTGTGGGTGAGAAGAACTGTGGAGAGAAGCACCTTCTCACAGTGGCGCATTTTTAACTCTTCATTATGGTGACACGAGGGCTTTGGGACCACGGAGATGTGCTCCAGAAGCTGCTGTGACAGCAAGGACTCTAAGTGGGGTCTCTAGATACTTAGTGAAACACTATTCCCCTTATACTCTTGAAAATGTCAGGATTTAATAAGAAGAAAGAACTAAAGCATTGATTAGGAGACCTGGGGAAGAGAAACACAGCAGCCTCTACAATGCTACTGGTTTTGTTAGCTGCAGCTCTTGGGATGCTCACATCTCTAGGTCCCCATCCTCATTCACTAATGCTGGTA